AAGGCTCAAACTAGAATTTATTTTTTTCAGCTATTCAGCAAGTTAGGTGTGTATATACAATTGATTTCAAGCAAAAGCCCCAAGTGTCACTTAGGCAGGAAGGAGAATCTACAGCCAAGACAGAAAGATTTTTTTTTTTTCTCAGGGCTGGGCAACAATTCTTTCTGCTCCAGTTGTCAAATATCTCAGCTGCATGCCATACATCCATTTCTGTGGCCTATCTTACATATTTATTTTAAACTTCGGCTTCTATTACACATATGCAGCATAACAGCCTGTGGACGCAATTTCTGGCTACAGCTGACTGCTGCCAGACACATGAAGTGATAAACTGCAACAAGGGGACCAGCACTCAAACCTACATATGCATTTGAATGAATCAAATGCTTTTACACCACAAAGTTGAATCACTGCGAGCAAAAACTTCAACTGTTCTGAACAGACAGCAACTCCATCCGTTTAAAATCAACGCATGTGTATAATGACATCAAATTGCACGGAACTGGGCGTTTCGATATGGATTTCTTCTCACAAGTTTTATACAGGAGAGAAGAAAATGGGCTCAAGAATACAAGCAGTATTCTTATAAATTGCATTCTCTAAAACCCAGAGAATTTCTTGAAAGAAATGTAAATGGCCAAATCCTTCCACAACTTGTGTGGGCACCACTCCAGTTGGCTTTAGAAGATCTAGTACTTCATCTGAGAGACAGAATTGGTCTTTCCTCAAAAAGTAGCCCTTAGCTTTTTTTCCTACTTAAGAAACCTCACTTATTCATCACCAAAAACAGTGATCAAATATTCTCATTTCGTAGGCTTTATACTCAGGCAGTATGTTATTTTAGTACCTGTTACTTGGGAAAAGAAATGACAACAGTTCACATTACTTGAACAGAGTTTTTCATAGATGTGAAACCAGGAAGCAGAATATGCCTATAGATCAACCTCTTATATTCAACTCATTTAAAAAGACAGGGCAGTATTTCAAACACATGTTGATGAAAGCTACATTACCGACAGGTATCAAATACCAACACATTTTTCTTCAATATGCGTGTACACACACACACATAGAGGTTGCTTGACATTCTAAACAAGAACACCTGTATGCAAAGAAAGCACATTTAGAAAAGTAGTTAAACATGTTTCAGAATATATTAGCCTGGTATGACAAGGATGGACAGAATATGTGATTGCTGTTAAATTCATATGTTGGCATTGATATACACCTTATGGCCCTATTAGCCTCTCTGCTGAGTATGGATCATGCAAATCATGCAAAAATCATTAATCCTAGTATTATAATTACTGTCATTTTAGGGGTTGATGCTATCACTGATATTTATGAGCCACTTTACTTGTAATGCCTGGACAACACAATAGGTCACATTTATCTTTTTGACTGCTTATCAAAACTGACTCAGTTATTTAATTACAAGAGACATTCAAGGTAATTAAATTCCTAGGAAACATCTGCTGTCACAAAGTGGCAGACAGAAAAGGTGTGTCAGAGTGACACCTCCTCCTTATTTGCAAGACATTTATTAACTCCAACTCGTTTTTCCTGACCCCAGGAAACAGCTGTATACTTCCAACGATGCTCGTAATTTTGTGTTACTGTTAGTGATGGTGGGTTTTAATTTGTAGTGCCAATCTAATGGGAAGAATATTAACTTGAAATTGTAACTGTTATATACAGGTAAGATGTAAACCTAGCAGCCACTTGTCAGGAAGTCAAACCATGCAAAAAGGCATTTATTTCATGTTTATACTAGGCACCTGTTTTACACAAATGTGTTCTCATCCTTATCTGCCTTCCCGGAAGCCAAGCACGCACTCAAAACACACAGCACAGAAATACTAAGGATTCACTGCAGGAGTGACAAAGGCTGGTAAAGATCTTAATGCAATGGGGTAGAAGAATGGTTTTCAGGATGAGAAAGCTATTTCCAATTTCTCACTCCAAAACAGATTCAAATGGTCTTTCTGAAACTAGTTTCTAGCACAATCCATGAGCCCAGAATACAGTTTATGCTCTGTCTTGTCATAGCCTGTCACAAAGCAATTTATGGCTAGAGGTAAAGTTGGCAAGGTAATGGGAGCATCAAATTTAGAGACAATTAGCTCAGCATGGAAACTATTCCACAGGGACTGCTGGCAAGAGGTGTTGCTGGCAAGACAGAAGACAAAAGTGGGGTCAGGGTAATTACATGGACAATAATTGGGGAATTGATTAGCTACCTGACAATGTTTAAATAACTTACTAAACTCAGTAAAAAGAATCACCTGCCAAAGTGAGGGTTAAGATGGAAAAGGAATTATCTTTTTTTGGTGATCATTAAAACATAAAGACCTCTTTTAAATTTAACCTGGCTAACAAGTTTTTAAATATTTTAAAAGCTGGAATGCTGGACCAGTGAGAGAAAATTTGGTGAGAGAAAAACATGGAGACAATTTGAAACAATTCCAATTCTCAGAACCTTTGGCAGAATTAAGGGATAATTTTAGAAATTATTAATAATAGGCTGTTTATGGTACATTTAAGAAGCTCTGAAAACTTCCAGGACAAGGACTGCATGTACAGGTAACATCTTTTGTCAGACCAACTACTATAGCTGGAAATACAGACAATAAAACTAAGAAACAAAACAAAACAAAAAAAAAAGAAAAAAGAAAGAAATTGTAATCTGGTGGAATATATGTTAACATTGATAAACTGGAGAATGCTCCAAAGTTCATCTCACAACAGTGTAAAGCCAAAAAGAGGTGATGAGCACTGATATTTGAACCTAGGCAAGTCCCTCAAAACAGCACTGCTTCCAATTTTAAGAAGCCTCTGGAGGAAGAAAGCACAGACTCCTTCAATCTGCTTTCTCTGGCACGTTGTAGTCCACTGTTGTCCACTTAGCCCTTCACAAGCAAAGGAATAGCAGGAAGCACACAAAAGCAAAGAACAACAACAACAAAAAAAAAACCTGTAACACAGCATCACTTCTGTGACAGAGCGGCATTGTTGAGACTTTGCATTATTTGTGAGATGGATTTCAGAAGCCATGCCAAGAAGATAAGATAAAATGTCTACAGGTCATAAAAATACTATTTTAATTTCAGTTCCTAATAATCTGTTGGGAAATGCCAGACCAGTTAAGACTTTACTACTGGAGCAGACAATAGTAGGATCAATAGACAGAAATAGCAAGTTATAATTTGAATTTAAGATCATTTAAACATTAGTTAGTCTCCCTCAATGCTTTCTTTAATGTCTTCTTTTGAACAACATTTAAATACTTTGTCCTGTTTTGCATACATTAGTTAAAAGGTGTTTACCTATGGCCAATTCATAAGGCAATTACATTATTCTTGACAAACCAGACAGAGCTCATACTCTTCCCCAGTCAAAACTCCTTCCCCTTTCACAAGCTGCAGTATCACCCAGAAGTGCCACAGCTCCAAGCACACCAGCACCTCTGATCTGCTGCATCTCCCAAAAACACCCTCAAAGCCAGAAGCCTCTTGTCATCACCTGGCCTGGACAATTCTCCTCCTCACAGAGGAGCACATCAGGGCACAGTTCACGCACATCCACATAGCTGCTCCACTGGCTCAACTCAGTTTGACATTTTCCCTTTAGAAGCAGCTTAATCTTTATAGTATTAAGTAAGCATGACTGATGAAAAGTGTTTTAAGAGCTTATACACATCTACTGCAGACCTATCTATTGTTCCCCATAAGCTTATTCCAGATTCTGAAATCTGGGCTCCCCGAGATCAAAACGCTATCCCTCCTGTTCAAGGAGGATGCCACCTCTTACTTCCAGGAATTAATTTTCTCCTGCACCCTTTGAATCTGCACCAGATGGAAAGAGACTTCTTATATGAGAAGGAAGATTGTTTTTCTTCTGATTAAAAAACCAGATTAACTTATAAATGTCAGAGGACATAAAACTATTTCTGAATTTAAGACAGATTCAGTTCATTGTTATATGATAGAGGAGGAGGGGAGTTTTTTGTGCAAGGTGAAACAAAGAGAGTTGCAAGAGTTAAATAGTTAAACGTTTGATTTTAGGTCAAAACTAAACTCTATCAGTTTTGTTGGGTTTTTTTTCCTTTTTCTAAAGAAAGACAGAACATTTCTATCACAGATGTATTCATTTTTTTAATCTCCATCCACTAAATATTAAAAGCATTATTCTCATGTCTCTTGTAATAGTATTCTATCTAAAGTACTAACACTGTTCTTAACATGGCCTCAAGCTTTCCAGAAGTCTACAGTGAAAGCCAAACACTTCAAGAACAATATTTACTACTAACAATAACCCTTCTCACCTCCTCACTCACCTTTTCAAATGCTGTATAACATGAAAACAAAAATTACTTAATAAAAATACTTGTGAATCATTCAAATTCTTTTACAGACATGCAAATAACAGATCATATAAGAGTGTGGAAACCACAGTAATGAGTATGGGATTGATGCGCATCTTTTTGAAAAGACCTTTGAAAAAATAAAACTGTTCAGACACCTCTTCAGAGTGGCAAACTATCATTAGAGATTTCATGCAGGGTGAAAGGCTGTGCTGCTAGAATCCACTGGAAGCAGTGTCACTGGCTGATACTGATACAGCACTACCATCTACAAAGGACCCAACAAGCAAAGGAAGCAAGCAAGACAACAAGCTTGAGAGACTAACTGGTAACAGTCCCACTTTCTTTTATTTACAATCTCATTCATATCGCCACACTTGACTTTGGCTACTCCCAGAAAGTAATGAAAGCACACTGGCTAGTTCTTGTCTTCTTTTTCACTTTTTCTTATCAATATCCTTATAAAGCAGACACTGTTTTAGCACAGAACAAGAAAAATGCATACTTTGACATCTCTAGAACAGGTTAACAGATTTATTCTTCAGCACTCCTCTTCACATGCACCTTTCACAGCTACAGTTTCACAGCTTCTAGCAATGAAAACTTCAAACAATTCTAAAAATTAGGGCTTACTTACTGAGCATTTGAAATACAATCACAATTTGATAGCTGATGTCGAAAATTTCCTTCCTTCTGACAGCCAGCCTTTAAATAACAGGATCTAATTTCCCCTTTACAAAATACAGAGGAAAAAAAAACAGTTCAGTGATAGGACCATTTGTTTTACACACAAAGTTTATAAAAAATACTTTTTAAGTCAGGCACATTTATATAGTTTTCAGTTTGTGCACTGGGCTTATTTTAGACTTCAGAAAGAAAATTAACATTCAAACAACTGAAAACCTGAGAGAAATCAAAACACAGAAATTACAGTGAAAATTTGACCCCTTTTTCCAACACAGAGTATGATACTCCATGACAGCAAAAAAGGGGAACCTAAATCAAAACAGAATCCAAAGAAGCACACATGCTAGAGGCTTATGTGCTACACAGACATTTAAAAGTATGTAAAGTAAATGCAAAGCCCATCTAAGTTCACTGTAAAATGTGAAATCATCAAACTTTTCATTTCAGTTCACAAAGGTGAGGTCAGGATGTACAAAGCAGCAAGAAACCCTGCAAAAAGTGTAGCCACTGCTACTCTCTCCCCCCCACCCCCCCCTCCCCTTGCGTTTTCAAGCATAAAGCAAAGGGTTGCTGCTCACCGACGCAGGGGTCATGCCATCTGCCAGACTGGCAGCTGCTGCTCGCAGCCCCACAGCACACCAGGGGCCACAAGCAGGGCCAGGAGGAACTGGCAGAAAACCAAAACACATCATGAACCCAGCTACCAGGAGCGCTCCTTCCACACTGGTTTTGAAGGCAGCTTTAAGGGAAACATGGCTTTTGGGCCAGCAGCCATTCAGAGATTGTGGACCAGTACCACTCAGGGCACTACACTGAGTTCAAACAAACCATGACTGACTATATGACAGCTTCAGCCTCCAGGAATAGCTGCAGAGCAGCAGCATGCCAAGCACAGGCACAGGGCAGGAGTAGGTCACTCATCAATTGGGGTACCAGAGCATGACTCCAAACGTGAGCAACCGCCACGTTATCAGAGTGTTCAGTCTGAGCCAGCTGAAGAGCAAAACAGTATAAAAGAGGAACATTTTGCCCAGCTAGGCCAGTGCAAAACTCCTCACCAGGCAGAAAGCATCAGGGGTTCTTCTGCAAAAGAAGTGGTCTTTTGGCCTAGTCAGCATGTTTTGAGTGTGATGTTTGGAAGATAAACTTCATGCAGCGTGTAAGCCTCAGGTCTGTGATAGTGCTGTTGGATTTTGAAAGCTCTAGTTATTGCTGATCTGACCGTTTCTTCCATGCACACATGAAAACACACAATCGGTAACAGACAAAGAGAAATATCCTTTCAGGGCATCTAAAGTTTCTTTAGAAATTTCCTCACACATTTTAATTATTCCAGCTACAGAAACTCACCATTTTCATCTATGAACACGTGCATTGCATCCACGGATAGCTCATCTTGCACAGACACCTCAGGTCCACTTATTACTTGCAAGACAGAACTGTCTTGCTGAGAAGTTACCCGGTAGATTATCTGCCTTTGCCTGTTGCCCTGGTAACTTGACACAAAAATGTTTCAAAACTACTATGAGGAACTTTTTTCTTGTTCTCAATAAAACAAAAAGAAAGAGAGGTTAATTAAAAGTTTATGTCATTTCTAGTCAGTGAAACAAAACAGCTTACATCATATCTTTGAAGTACAAAATTGTAAAGTAAACTGGCCTTACAGTGCTGCAAATTTGGCAGACTCAGGTAGCACCGGACTAGTACTAGCACGATCTTGGCTTTGTACATCTGATCTTTCCTGTTTAGGAAGTTGCTCACAGTGCTTTTCTGTTCCCACCATTTCTTCTTTTCTCTCCGTCATCTGGCTATCTGGAAAACAGGGCAGTGAAGTGGAGCCACTCTCCACAGATGACTGTGAAGAGTTTTGTTCATTAGCTACTGAACAAGAGCATCTAAAAGAGAAAAGCTAAAACACTGCAGCAATTACTAGTTTTACGAAAAACATGAAAATTATTTAAAAGAATGCAATCTCAGAAGCCTGGATGAGGAGGTACTCTGAGTTGAGGGGGCTGTATGAATGGGCTGTTTCAAGAGCAGGCTGTGTGAAGCAAAGGACACATGAGAGAATTTCTGCTTTGCTTCTCCTGTTGTTTCAGAGGGAAGCAATCTGTCCCTAATTTAGAACGGTAAGAGGCTGCTTCCCTGGGGCCGTAAATTGTTTCCAAGCTGTGTATAGGTAGCTGCCTAATCCTTCATCCCATCAGCCACACATCTGATGCAGGACAAGTGACAATCTGGCTAAGCAATTTCACAACAGATTTTCCTATGCTTGGAAAATATAGAACTATAGATTTTAATATACCCGATAGACTTGTCCAATTTCTGATACTTTAAATACCAATTTGAATACCAATATTTATATTACCTCTCTACACATGTATATATAATTTACTTATACATATATCTGTGTACAACTTTCAAGTGATAGTCTCTTTTGGTTAATAACATTCATGTTAAATAGTGAAACATTTTACAACTGTGCTTTAACTGTAAACTAAAAAAAATTATGTTAGGATTTTAAAGTGCAGCGAAGACAGTGATTTCATCACCACCATGTGCAGTTGCACAATCAAATGCTTTAAATAGAACAAGAACAAAAAAGTTTTTGTTGGTCTTGTTGGAGATGCTGCAGTGAGTCCTGTAGTTTCTTTCACTAAGCAAGGTATAGTGAAACGTACTTACCCAGACTTCTTGCAGTACCTGCTGTTTAAACACCTTAGAAATTTAATCATCAAGAAAAAAGCCACAGAAATTCCCCCCAACAAAAATTCCATTTGTTAAACCACATTTCCTGCCAATTACCATCCTAACCTGCAAGAGTCACCAGCCAAGAAATAGTGGTGTCATAGCTAAGATAATCTAAGGATAAAACAGATTCAAGGCTTGTAGAAAGACAAGTCTTTTATTAAGCCAACTGATATAACTGGGAAAAAAAGCAGCCAAACTTTTGGATATACAGACCATTCAGATCATCTGTCTTGTTTTCCTCCAACCATATCAGCTGATCTAATAATACATTACTTCTACAAACAAACCTACCTTCAGGAGTTAAGACATCTCTACACCAGTTTCAACTCACAGGACACACCTCTCTAATACCCTAAAGCCTCAGACACTCACACGTAACCACTTTTCACTGCAGACACTGCACAATTGGGGGAGGGGGGGCAGTTGGGGGGGGAAGAGGGCAGGGGGAGCAGAAATCCGGAAGTGTAAGAACAACTTGAATTGTACCACCACATCTTGTCCCAGCAGGTCTCAGTCCTTAATGTGAAGCACAACAAGCAGCACCAAACCTGGAGAGTCTCACTGGGGCCACAGACACTCACCAGCCAGGCTAGCAGGAGTGAGAGGGAAGGGGCAGTGGAGATAAAGACACCATGTAACTCTTGCTTGCAACAGCAGCATTCCTTTAGCTTCCACAAGGAAGGGAAAAAAAAGGATCTCATTACAAGACTAAAGGTATTCTGAGCCACCTGCTCTCTTTCTGTAGCACTCGACAACCAAGGATCCTGACTTCTTGTGCAATAATTACAACGGGTGTTAAGCTTGGTTTAGGGAAATATTTTGTATCTGTTGTGCATGGAGACAAAATTCAGTAAGTCTTCCAGACCTACTTTCTTCTCTTTAGGAAAAAACAAAAAAGCGGGCAAAGGAGCAGACAACAGGTTTTTTTCTTTCCTAATTAAAGATTTAAACTCCACTTTAAGCAGAAACTGCCTTTTAAAACTGTGGCATTACTGAAACATCCCCTTAATGATGTAACTGTACTTCAGGGAGGTGATGGAGCCACAGACACCTAATCGAAATCACCTTCCTAAAGGCTTGGTCTGTTCAAGCTGTAAGAATAATTGATAGAGATCAGAAACCGTGGTTTTAATAATCTAATTGGTCCCATATTGCCCAAAACTAGCTCTAGGGCTGGAACAATTAAAAAGGTTTTTTTAATTTGATTATCTAGTGGTTTTAGAAAATACCTCTCTCTTTTTCATTCCAAACCACAAGCCTTGCAGA